GAATTCTGGTCATCCTGTGCTAGAATTGTTCTGGGTAGTGCCTTGAGGCAAAAACCCTTATAATCACAAATCTTACCCACTATCAGCGGTTAACTCCCTTCCAGTTTTTCTTCCTTTTTTTAATTCTCTCCAGTCCTTTCAAATAATTGTATTCTTTTATTTTACCCAGCATCCATATTTATTATAATATAATACAGGATAGTCTGCAACTACTGGAAGTAGAATCTCCAGCTTTTTTTGATGTTGTTGTTAATTAATTGGGTTCCCAAATGCTAGTGGTAAAGAACCTGCCTCCCAATGCGGGAGACGAGTAGAGATGTGAGTTCTGTTCCTGGGTTGGGAAGATCGCCTGGAGAAGGGAATGGCAACCCAGTATTCTTGCCTGGAGAATCCCATGGACAGCGGAGCCTGGTGGGCTACAGTCCATAGGGCCGCACAGAGTCGGACACGACTGAAGCAACTTAGCACGCACAGTAATTAATTGTATTTTTGGCTGTGCTGGGTCTTTGTTGCTGTGCAAGGGCTTTCTCTCGAGTTGCGGTGAGCGGGGGCTCCTTTTCGTTGCAGTGCATGGGCTTCTCCCGGTGGTGGCTTCTCGTTGCAGAGTGCAGGCTCTAGGCGTGCAGGCTTCAATAACTGTGGCACACGGGCTCAGTGTGTGACTTGGGGGAGCTATAGCACGCAGCCTTCTGTAGTTGTGGTGCACAGGCTTTGCTGTTCCACGGCATGCGGAACCTTCCCAGACCAGGGGTTGAGCCCCTGCCCCTGTATAGGCAGGCAGATTCCTACCCACTGTACGATCAGGGAAGAATATGCATTTTAAAGAAGCCTCTGTGGCTTCTTCCTTTGTTGGATTTCCTTTCTAAACTTGATTCTCTGACTTGTCAAACCAGTAAGACCAGCAACATCATGCTTGAATTCTGGTCATCCTGTGCTAGAATTGTTCTGGGTAGTGCCTTGAGGCAAAAACCCTTATAATCACAAATCTTACCCACTATCAGCGGTTAACTCCCTTCCAGTTTTTCTTCCTTTTTTTAATTCTCTCCAGTCCTTTCAAATAATTGTATTATTTTACCCAGCGTCCATATTTATTATAATATAATACAGGATACTCTGCAACTACTGGAAGTAGAATCTCCAGCTTTTTTTGATGTTGTTGTTAATTAATTGGGTTCCCAAATGCTAGTGGTAAAGAACCTGCCTCCCAATGCGGGAGACAAGTAGAGATGCGAGTTCTGTTCCTGGGTTGGGAAGATCGCCTGGAGAAGGGAATGGCAATCCACTCCAGTATTCTTGCCTGGAGAATCCCATGGACAGAAGAGCCTGGTGGGCTACAGTCCATGGGGTCACCAAGATAGGGACACGACTGAAGCAACTTAGCATGCACAGTAATTAATTGTATTTTTGGCTGTGCTGGGTCTTTGTTGCTGTGCACGGGCTTTCTCTCGAGTTGCTGTGAGCGGGGCCTCCTTTTGCAGTGCACGGGCTTCTCCCGGTGGTGGCTTCTCGTTGCAGAGTGCAGGCTCTAGGCGTGCAGGCTTCAATAACTGTGGCACACGGGCTCAGTGTGTGACTTGGGGGAGCTATAGCACGCAGCCTTCTGTAGTTGTGGTGCACAGGCTTTGCTGTTCCACGGCATGCGGAACCTTCCCAGACCAGGGGTTGAGCCCCTGCCCCTGTATAGGCAGGCAGATTCCTACCCACTGTACGATCAGGGAAGCCCAGAACCTCCAACTCCTGTTTCAAAACACTCACATGAAGACGACTAAAATTTAAAGGAGAGATCAAGGTAGATATATACATTTGGTGTTCACTGACATATGGATAGTATTTAAAGCCATGAGGATAGATGAGACCATTAAGAGGCGAGCGTAAATGTAAAAGGGAAACGAGCAGAAAGAGGTTTTTTAAAAAAAATTAATCCTCATTAAATTAAGAGTTATAACAGATGCTATTTTTTGACCCCTGTGCAGAAGACTTTCTTATGTATCTCATGGAATTCATCCAACAGTATCGTCAGGCAAGAAATTAAGGCTCAGAGGGAAGAGGTTTGCACATGGTCACATAGGAGGTGGAAGCAAAGAAGAGGGACTAGTGAGGAGACTGTTGAGAAGGAGCAAACCGTGCGGTAGGAGAAAAACCTTGAGTGTATTTTTTAAACTCTCAGAGTCCCAGTTTCCACATCTGTGAAATGGGACTAGCAATGACCCTGTCATTAGAGGATTAGAAACAATATATGCAAAGTACCTGAAACAGTGCACCTAGGAAACAGGCAACTAGAGGTTAGCCATAATGCCTATGAATGTTTAATTTGTTGTATTTAGCTTTACTATTTCATGCAAATAGAATGACGTTCCCCCAGATTCCTTACCCAGGGGTCAGTGGACATAGGGATGGAAAAAAGGGAGACTATGAGTAAGGAAAAGGGCAAGAGGAGAAGGGCCTTCAGGCTGCCTGTCTAAAGTGGGCTCTGTGGGCTGACCAGCATCCAGATGGGAAGAGTGAGAACCGTTTCCACCACCCCTGGGGCCCATGTGCTGCAGGATTGATGAGTGGACTCTCTGGGTGTGCACACAACCTCCAGGTCCTTTCAGGGATCTGGGCTCAGTCCACACAAAAGGAAGAAAACCTACAAATCAAGCCAAGAAGTAAAACTTTTATTATTTTTATTTCACTATGTTATTTATTTGATTATAACCCAGTGTTTAAAATAAATATCCATGAATCCATTCTGATATAAATAAATCACTGAATAAATCTCCCATGCAGGGGAACTCCAAATAATTTCCCTTCTCAAGGAATGGCAACATAAAGAGGGATGAAGTAACCGAACAGTGGAGAAATCTGGCTAACACGACCTTACTTAGGTAATCAAGGTTAACACTGACAGTGATAAATCATTTTGACACTAAATAACTAAACAACAATAACAAACTCATAATATAATATGATCACATTTTACCGATATGACCTTTGTCCCCAGAACACATTATCCCAGTCTTACCGTGAGAACACATCAGACAAACCCTAACTGAGAGACATTTTACAAAATACCTGACCGGTACTCTTCAAAATTGTTAAAATTACTGAAAATAAGCTAAGTCTTAGAAACTGTCATAGCCAAGAGGAACCTCAGGAGACATGTAGGCAACTGAACAGGATCCTGGAACAGCAGAGAATAGGTAAAAATTAGGCAAATATAAAAGTATAGATTTTAGTTAATGATATATTGGTATTTATTTATTAGTTGTGACAAACGTGGTGTACTAATGTTTGATATTAATAATAGGGAAACTGGGTGTGGAGTTCACAGAAAGAAAAGTGTGTAGTTACTCAGTCATGTCCAACTGTTTGCAATCCCATGGACAGTAGCCCGCCAGGCTCCTCTGTCCATGGAATTCTCCAGGCCAGCATACTGGAGTGGGTTGCCATGCCCTCCTCCAGGGTATTTTCCGGACCCAGGGATCAAACCCAGGTCTCCCGCATTGCAGGCGGATTCTTTACCATCTGAGCCACCAGGGATGGCAGCTTTTCTATAAATCTAAAAGTATTCTAAAACTAAAAGTTTATTTTATATATTTAAACAAAGTTTAAAAGGTATAGTTTAGAACTAGACACAGAGAAAGTTTTCTGGAATCATTTTTTTTCCTGATTCTTAGGGAGGTGGCTGAAGTCATGGCTTCACTGTAAAAAAAAAAATGGACAGGAAACAGGAGAGACAGGTGTGGACAATGGCAGGCAGACTCCTGGACAGGCAGAGAAGGATGTCAATTAGTTGGAACAATGGAAAAATCTGGGAGAGAGGCAGAGAGAGCCACATGTCATCTCACCTATTTTTTGAAAACTCACACCTAGGCTGAACATGTTAGAAATAGTTGAACAGTGAACTTTTAACCACTGGCCTTAAAAAGGAGTGAAGGAAAGGAAGGAAGGAGGGAAGGAGGGAGGGAGGAAAGGAGGGTGAGGAGGGAGGAAGAAGGAGGAGAAAAACAGAGAATTTCCATTTCAAAAAATTCTTACTTAAAACAACTTTCTGGACTGTTAGCAGTATTTCACAATGCAGTCATCTCATTTTGGCAGCTTGATTGATTTCCTGATTTTCAGGAAAACTGAGCTGTCATCTGGTTCCTACTTGGCTGTTTACCGACATGAATATGCAGTTCTCACAAAATGTGAAATGGCTGCTGAAGAAGTGAAGAATAATTCTTTCTGACGTGTTGCTCCAAGCCCTCCACTGTCTCAAAGATGAAGAAACCCAGGGGAGAAACTTTCCTCCTTTCCCCATAAAAAAAGAGAGTGAAGTTCATTTCTTTGGGAGTTTTTCACATGAACTGGAGGTTCTGAGCCAGTCTGTCGGGTGGGAGCGGATGGGAATGAGTGCACCCCATGGTTTTCTGTGATACCCACGCAGCTCCAATGAAGCTCAAGAGCACCGGCTGTGGCATGGATCTCTGGGTACTCTCAGGAGGATGGCTGTCATCAACATGTGTTTTTGAGCACCCCCTGGTACAAGAGCTAATATTGACTCTCTATGCACTTTCCCCTCACCAGTCCTATGAGGTAGTAGGCCCTTCTATACCATTGTAGAGAAAGAAAATGAGGTTCAGAGGAGTAGATACCCTGCCCCCCAAACTTACATGGTGTGATGGTTAGTTTTATGTGTCAACTTGGATAGGCTGTATGCCCAGTGGTATCCTTAGACCCTAGTCTAGAAGATGCTGGAAAGAAATTTTGTAGATGTGATTAACATTTACAATCTGACTTTGAGTAAAGCAGATTACCCTCTGTAATGTTTGCAGACCTCATCTAATTAATTGAAGGCCTTAAGAGCAAATATTGAGTCTTAGAAAAGACAGAATCTGCCTCAAACCTATAAGGTTTTCTGCCTGAATTTCCAGCTTGCTAGCCTGCCCTTCAGATTTCAGGCTTGCCAACTACTTCCCACCCAGTTCCATAAGCCAGTTCCTTAAATCCATCTCTCCCTTCTCTCTCAACCCCAGGTCTTTTCGGATGCAAAGCCCACAATTCCACACTTCTCAAACTCCACCCTCTGCTGCCTCCTAGATCCTGCATGAGAAGCTGCAGATACCAGGGTCGTAACATAAGCTGTACTATAAGAGACTGAGGTCAGATCTCTTGAGGACCCTATGAGGAAAGATTTAACATGAAGGACACCAGTTGAGTGGAGAAAACCACTGTTGAGAAGGAGGATGTGACAATGTCAGGAAGATGGGGGTAATAATCAAGGAGGGAAGAGCATGTGGCAGAGAAAACAAAAATAATCGTTAATGCTTGGTGAGTGCTTCCCATGTGCCGGGTACTGTTCTAAGCGCTTCCCTTATGTTAATTTCTTTAGTACTATTATGCTCACTTTATGGATGAGGAAACTGAGGCCCAAGGTCACAGTTTCTGGTACATGGTAGAACAGCGGGGAGTTGCCTGGAGAGCCTAACACTTAACCCCTTAGGAAGCCACAGAGAGAAAGAAGAGGGTGAGAGAGAGATGCCACTCTTCTGACAGAGGATGAAAAGGCAAGGCTGGACTAGGCTGTCATTTCTAAAGCCAAGGCCGGATCCTGCTTGCCTGGAGGAAATCCAACCACAATTTCTGTTGAGGTTCCTTCTTGGAGTTACACACTAGTTCTGGGATCTTATGAACTCCACAATATGAGGAAAGTTCCTTCTGTTCACTAATCTGTACTTAAAAACCCTGAGGCGTTACGTCAGTTAAGAATGTGTAGGCTCTCCATAGTGGCTCAGCAGTCAAGAATCTGCATGCAACACAGGAGACCTGGGTTCGATCCCTGGGTCAGGAAGATCCCCTGGAGGAAGGCATGGCAACCCACTCCAGTATTCTTGCCTGGAGAATCCCATGGACGGAGGAGCCTGGCGGGCTGCCGTTCATGGGGTCGCACAGAGTCGGACACGACTGAAGCGGTTAAACAGCAGCAGCAGCTCTCCACAGGAGAAACCCTTAATAATTTCAGCCAAGACCAGGAGACCTTGGCTTATGGTCCAGCCTCCCCGAGCATACTCAGCAGCCTCCTCCTGAGTTTTTCCAGGGTGTTGACAGGGAGCTGGACACACTCCCAGAAGAATGTGGGCACTTATGGCCCTCTGCCTCGTTCCGGTCAGGAGAAACCACCTGCTAAGCCACACCGCTTCTCAAACGCACTTCCCTTCCTCACTCCGTCACCTTCATGCCCTCCCGGAGTCCTACTAAAACATTCTCAAGGGGGAGACCTTCGGGAAAACAGAGTAACAAGTGTCTTCCTGAGAGTTTCTACTCTTGGCCAGCTGACACAAGCCTGCTTTTTGTGTCTGTGATGATTGAGGGGATGGGGACAGTAATGCAGGCGAGAGGAGTGCACACGCTGGTCTCTGTGTGACTGTCCCACTGTTGCAGGGGAAAGAACAGTGCGGTGCTAAATAGGAGACCTGGACCCCTAAATAGGAGACCTGGACCCCAGCCTCTGCTCTGGGCCCAAATGTCTTCATCAGTAAAACTGTTAAGAAGGAATGCTGTAGGGGTGGGGATGGGAGGAGTCCATCTGCTTCAAAACTAGATACAGAGGCCTCTGCAAATTGCCTAGCAAAATGCCCCAGTCAGACCCATCCCTCCCAGGATGGTAAGGTTGGGAGACACGGGAAAGGCAGGAAGTATGTGTTATAGGCGTCCAGGGGCAGATCTGGGTGTTCCCAGCTTGGCTCCCTGATCATACAAGGGGAGGTGTGGGGTTACAAGTGGTGGGGGGAAGGAGGTGGGGGTGGTTAATAAGTAGCAAAGGATCCCTAAAGTCACATTTTAGTATACAGAAGTTTTTAACTAGGGTCCCTGAACCACAGCCTGTACGCTGGAATTCAGAGGTTGATGAACTGAGATTGGAAAATATTACAACTTAACCTCCACTCACCTCCATTTTCTCAGTTATAAATAAATGCAAAAAACTGTGGTTGCATTAGCAGGGCCAGTAAAAACCAGTGCTTTTTCTTTCCTTTTACCTTTGCAGGTGTCTTGAAACATTGTTTAAACTCATTTCTACTTCAAGTTGACAGTGGTTTATTGGGCTCATCCCCTTGATTCTTGTTATTTAATGTATTAAAGAAACCCATATATTACAACATCACACACTTCAATATTTTCACAACTGTATTTCAACATAGCTAGTTTCATTTGTGATCCCTTTATGCAAAGGAAAATATTTTGAGAAGGAATCACGGCACAAAAAAGGTCAAGGGCCCAGACCAGGAGCGGTCCCTATTGACGCGTGGCCCAGAGTGAGGACGGCCGCCCAGCTGCGCACAGGCTGCCACAGGAGGAACCAGGTCAGAATCCCACCAGGCACTGCTCCTGCTCCAGGAAACCTTGGGGTAGGACGCAGGGGCGAGGCATGACCGCGACGAGTCACGGAGATCTTTAGCTCGATGGAGTGGCCTTGGGCCTCCGCTGCCCGTTGTGAAAAAGGAGAAGATCACCAGCCTCTTAGCTTCAATCACATGAGGATGGAGCCCCAAGCTCACTGTGGAATAAAGGGAAGGGAGCACTCACCTTTTGTACTTAGGGAGTTTTTTCAGCCCTCCCCCCCCTCCCCTTTTCTTTTTTGCCATGTTGTGCAGCACTCAGGATCTTAGTTCTCTGGCGAGGGATTGAACCCACACACCCTGCAGTGAAAGCACGGAGGCTTAGCCAGTGGACCACCAGGGAAGTCCCCAGCCCAATTTAAGGGAACAAAAGCCAAGTGTAGCGAGAAGGAACAAGAGATTCTTCCGCAGCTACAGTTGTATCTTCTCGGCTCAGGGATGAGAGGAAAGTGTCACCCAACGAACCAATATTGGTGCATTATTATTAAAGAAAGTCCATAGCTTACTTGAGGGTTCACTCTTTGTGTTGTACAGTTCCACTGGTTTTGAAAAATGCATAATGTCATGTATCCACCATGACATCATTCAGAATAGTTTTATTGCCCTAAAAATGCCCCATCTGAGCCTCAGTTTTAACATCTCTAAAATGAGAAAGTGAAACTCCTCTAAATCCCCTCATCCTCTCACTGTAGGTTTCTAATTTAGGCCTCTTGACAAAGTGGTGCTGAAATCAACAAAATGTTGCTCCAAGTGTGGTCTGATATCCATCAGAATCACTGGGCTTGGGTTGAGGTGACGAGGTCCTCATTCAAAACTTCTGGGTTCTCAACCTCAGACCCACTAAACCCAGGGTCAGGGCCCAGGAATCTGCATTTTAACCAGACCCTGGTGCACAGGGAAGTTTGAGACCTCAACAGAGTATTCAAACCTGAACTCGAGGATCCAACCCATTGTCAGGTTAAAGCTCAGGAGAGATGTACAATTCCCCAAAGGGGGAAGGAGCAGAACTGTTTTCCTGGAAAAAGCCCATTTCTGCCTTCCACAGATCCCAGTCAACAAGCCTCCTGTTGTTTCACATCTTGATTGCTGCTCACTCACCCAAAATAACCTGCATGCAGTGTCTCACCAGCTGCAGCTCTCTCTGCAGCTCCCTTAATTTAGCAGCCAGTCACATTTGGCTCCACAACAAAGGGGCTCTGGGAAGGGGCCCCTCCCTCATGGCCATCTGTCGTGGATTGAATAAAGTGCCCCCCAGATTCATGTCCCCCATCCAGAACCTCAGAATGTGACTTTATTGAAAATAAGGTATTTGCAGACGTAATTACTAAGGATTAAGATGAGATCATACTAGATTAGGGTGGGTCCTAAGTTCAGTGACTGATGTTCTCATAAGATCAGTCAAAGACAGACACACATAGGGGAGGAGGCCATGGGAAGACAAGGGCAGAGGTAGGGGTGATGTAGCAACATACAAGTCAAAGAACACCAAAGATGCCAGGAGTCACCAGAAAAAAGAGGCCAGAAGATTCTTCCCTAGAATCTTCAGAGGGAACATAGCCCTGCCAACACCTTGATTTCAGACTTCCAGCCTCCAGAACTGTGAAAATAAATTTCTATTATTTTAAAGCCACCCAGTTTGCGGTAATTTGTTACAGCAGCCCTAGCAAGTTAATACGTCATCACTACCACAGACCGCTGCCCCAGTTCAGCCCCACTCCAACCATTAAAGAAAGGACCCCACACACACAAGCAATTCTCCACGTTATGTGCTTTAATGTGGCCAGTTATGATCAGAGCTATTTTCTCCCAACCAACACCCTCTGAATTCTGCGTCTACTAAGCCTGTTTCCTACACAAGACAAGGGGCCCTCCATCCTCTGCTTGGAAGGCTGTAATCCAAGATGGGTTGAGACTTTAGTAGTGATAAATAAATATTGGTCCCAGGGGCAGTGCCTGGCAGGTGGTACCACGAGGCCATTCCTGGGCTCAGCTGAGCGTCCGGCTAGATGGGTCTCACTGCAGCTTCATGCCACTCCGGCGCCGAGAGTCCTTCCGGGCAATGGGGCTGAAGTTCACGATCTCCTTGTAGATGTGCTCTGAGGAAGGCAGGAGGGTTCAGGAGTGGTGGGTGCTGAGGGCAAGCGCCTGCCTCCCTCCCCCAACAGACATGGTGCAGAGCAGGAAATCTGCTCAGTGCAGGAAGAAGCGCACGCAGGAGACAGTGTTTGCTCAGAGAGAAAGAGGCCACAGCCTCCAGGAGAAACGCCAGGGCCGCTGAGGCCAGGCGGGGAAACAAGGCCAGCAGAGGGGACAGAGGATGCAGGCTGCGGGGGAGGCGCTGAGGCGCCCGGCCCTTACGCTTCCATTCGTCCACTGTGAGCTTCTCGCGTTCTAAGGAATCATCGAGCGGCTGCTGGGCCTCTGTCTCCTCCTCGGGGTCTCGGAAGGGCTCAAAGAAGGGGTGGGCCAGGGCCTGCGAGGCCGTCAGGCGCTTGTCCACGTCCAGCTCCAGCATCTTCTCCAGCAGGTCTGTAGCTGCCGTCACAGAGCATGAGCCTCACGCCCCAGGCCCGGCAGAACCCAGCCCGCCCGCGGGGACACAGACTGCAGGCCCCCGAGACTCACCCTGGGGGCTGGCACGCGGGAAGAGCTGCGAGAAATCCTTTTTGGGGCTTTGTGGCAGGGACTGGATGTAGGATTTGGCCTGGAAGACAGAACAGCACTGAGTAATCCCAAGTTGCCAGCTCCTTGGGACTTAGGCTATAGGATCTAGAGCAGGGACCCCAGAAAAGCCGCTGAGCAGGACTGAGGGCTCAGGTCCGAATCCAAAGTGAGATAAAGGCAAGAGCCCCTGCTAGGGCAGAGGGGCGGTGCGGGTGAGCCCACCTCCCTGACCCTGGCCCGCCAAGGGCACAGCCCCAGCCAGCCTGGGCCCATCTGCCCCTCACCGCCTTGTCATTCAGCTTCTGCACAAACTCTGCGCCCGGCACGCCCGTCACTTTCAGGATCTGGGTCAGCTGGTCCAGGTCTTGGCAGCAGGTTAAGGCTCGGCCTCACTCGCTGGGTGGAGGGGGAGCGGGTCTGGAGCTGCCCTTCCCGCTGCCCCTCCATCAGGCCCGCCCAGCAGGGTGGACCATCCAGGCTCCAGACACCCACCTGTCCTCCTGGTTTCAGGAGGGGAGGTTCATCCTTCAGGACGCAGGTGAGACTTCCCACCTGCCAGGCTGGGTTAAGGGTCCCTCCCCACAAATGCTCCTGCAGGCGCCACCTTCCCAGCCTCATCCCACTCCGTCACCTCCGTGCATTTCTTTGTCTACTCCCCCCACACCCTTGCATTCTGAGCTTGGCAGGGAGACCCCGTATCTCCTCCCCAGTCCCTGTAAGGCACACGGAGGTGCTCAACTGGTGGGTGTGGTGCCAAAACATCAAGTATTTTCTGCAGGATGGTGGAATCACAGGTGACTGGTTTTCATAATTTTGCTTCTCTGCACTTTAAAATTACTCCACTGTGGAGCATGTGTCACTGTCACATTAAGAAAAAGAGAGAGATTTAAGTAATAAAGTGTCTGTTGAAGGAATGAATCCCTGGATGAAGACTGGCTTTTTCAGCAAAGGATACAGTCTTTCCCCTTGAACAGCGTCTTCCCTGTCAGCATCTCTGCCATGATACAGCCCACAGACCAGATATCCACTGCAGAAGGAGGGGGAGGAGGTGTCACCTGGACCAGCTGGCCAGGACCTGGCAGTCGGTCAACCCAGAGTATCCAAGACAGGCTTGAGGACGCCATCAGAGAAGACCCCCAGCCCCCTCCCCGGGGCAGCCGAGCACTGACCGGTCTGGTTGTAACGCATCCAGCTGAGAATCACCTCAGGAGCCCGGTACCAGCGGGTCACCACGTAACCCGTCATCTCCACATCCGTATGCCGTGCCAACCCAAAATCCAAGATCTATGACTCGGGGCACAAAGGGAAAAGAGCTCTCTGAGGAGAGGGGCTTTCTGGAGCAGCTTCTGGGGGCTCCGGTGGGAGAGGGGCCCACCCCAAGCCCAGGCCAACCCTGCCTGGGCCCCCTCACCTTCAGCTCACAGTCCTCGTTCACAGCGAGGTTGCCCGGCTTCAGGTCCTAGAGGAGAGGAGAGATGGCGCGCTGGACAGAGGCAGAGATGGTGTCCCCACTCGACCGCCACCCGCACGCGGCCCTGGCCAGGCCCCTGCCGCTTTCTCTGGGTGCCGGTCTCCTGTGCAGAGTGAGGGTTGGACCAGGTGTCCTCTAGGGTCCATCCGGCTCTAAAATGCTCCGACTCTTGGAGCCTGAAACACCCATCTCAGCTTCACTGGTGACATTTTCCCAGAAAGTTCCCCGAAACAGCAATTCTTAGCAGGCCTTCCTGGGCCAAGGCTGAGTCTGAAAAATCCCTATCCCCGGCTCCCCTTGTGCCATCTACCCGCCCCCCCCCCCAACTTCAAGAAGACCCCAGGGGTGGGTGGGACCTTTGAGGATGTAGCAGAGAAAGCACTCACCCTGTGGACGACCCCAGCTGAGTGGATGTACTGTGTTGGAGGGAGAGAGGGAGAAGCGTGAGTCCAGAGTTCGGCTTTCACACTAGGCGTTCAGGCTGGCTCAGAGACCGCCTCTGCCCTGTCGTGGTGTATTCCTCCGAACCTTTGAGGCCTGGCCTCCCCCAGACCACAGGTCTCAACACCCAGCCCCCATCCACTACCCCCTGGCAGGCTCCCACCCACCTTAAGGCCCTTGAGCATCTGATACACCAGGTACTGGATCTTGTCCTCACTGAACTCCATCCCCATGATCTTCTGCAGGTCCGTCTGCATGAAGGGCATCACCAGGTAGCTGCAAGGCATGAAGGCTTCCTGAACAGTCCCCAGGCCCACCCAGCCCCACGCCCCAGCTCAAAGGAGGGGCATGGGGCTGGGGCAGAACACAAGCCTTAGAGATGACCTTCGTGTGCGAGAAGAACCACTCCCACAACAGCCAGCCAAATCCCCAGGCAATGGGCCTCCCAGCTCCTGGCTCCCAGCCTGGCCCTGGCAGCCGCCCTGTTGGCAGAGCTCAGGGTATTTCAGCTGGAGCTGCGCTCAGGAAGACCAAATGCAGCAGTGTTCCCGCTCTTCAAAGGTATCCTCTCCTCGCCCTCCTCCACGCCCCACAGAAAGCCACTGCTGTGAGTTAGAAACACTTGCCAGTATTTCCTTCTGCTTCTGTACAAATATTTTCTCCCCACCTCAGAGGGTCATGAGCGGCCATGAAAATCCTCAAACATCCAAAATGTCTCCCTTCCAAGAAGGAAACAATAAAACAGTTTCCAGGAGGGTGAAGAAGGAAGAAAGAGATAGCTGAACCCTCACCCTCTCTTAATGGGATTGCAAAACAGGTCAAAGTCAGCAAAATGTAACTGCTACTCAAGGCAGTAACAGCAAAGTCCAGAACAGGAAAGGATAAAGATCTAGAAAGGAGTTAAACAAATAAAAGAATGTGGAGGCCATCTCCATGAGCCTGTGATTCCCGGTCTTCTTCCACCTGACTGTACCCCCTCCCATGCAGTGGGAACCCCAGCTCCATGCACAGGCTCCTCCCCACCTTCGTGTTTCACCGCTACAGGAAACTGATTCCGTTCAGCTGACAAACTCACTGACATCTTACGGTGCTACAACCACCCTCCCTTAACCTTGTTTCTTCGAGTATCCCTACTCCTTCTCTCTCTTTTCCCTCCTGATCAAACTTCTAGGAAGAGTGGTCCTCACCTGTCGACCCCACTGTCTTAAAGCGCGGTTCCCTGACAACGGGGTGTCTGCTCCTGCCCCACCAGCCCAGCACACATACCCATGACTCCCTTTCTTTCTGCTGGAACTTGTGTAAAGCTTGACACTCCCTCAAAGTTCTCTGCGAATTCCAGCTCTGGTCAGGCAGTCTCAGCTCTCTGCCTGAGGATCCTGTTGTACCTTCTCTTTCATGTTGATATCTTAACCCACAGCATCGCATCATGCCCTACGCTAGCCTGACCCTGGGCTTCGGCTCTCACCCACCAGTGGTTATTCTGGCCCAAGTCCACATCCCTGGCCCAGACCTTCCTAAACTCTGGGTTTGTTTGCTGGATAAACACTTGAATGTTCATAGACTTTTCAAAAATGAAGTGTCCAAAGTGGAGTTCATTATCTTTCTCCTAAGATCTGTTCTTCCTTCACCTTGTATTCCCAGTAGGAACCTGGCATCCCCTGACCTCTCCTCACCACTGCATCCCAAGGGATACAACACTCTGACAGTGCTGCCTCTTGATGGGTCTCAAGTCAGCTCTTGGGACCCCATCACCTTGACTGCATTTAGAACAAGGTCTGGTTCTCCCTAAAGCTGTTCCTGTTCCTTTCTGCTGCTGCCAGACTGCATCCCCAAATCCGCTCTGACCACCTCACCTCGCTGCTCAAAACCTCTATAGCCTTGAGGCTGCCTGTGGAGTCAAGTCTGGACTCAGCCTAACTAAATCAGCCACTGCTTCACTGCACTTCTCAGGATGGCCCAGCCTCTTTCACACAGGCATCATGGCCTTGGTCCATGCAGTTCCTTCTCCTTGGGATGCCTTCAGCCCTTCTACCTCAGGCAAACATTGACTCATCCTTCAGGGCTGAGTTCAGAGTTACCTCCTCTATGAAGCCCGCTGAGGCAGCTGGCAGTTCCCGGCTCTACCCAGACTCAGAGCACTGACCACCACTGTCAGTATCCACCACTGTCTGTCTGGAGGAGCTGGTCCACTTTAAATTCCCAATGCCAAGCCCAGCAGCTGGCATTGTAGGGAAAAAAATCCATTCAAACTCACTGCGTTAAACTGAAAACAAAAGCATCCTAATAAAGAGAACTGCGGCTACAGTTGAAATAGGACTGGAAAAAAAAAAATCAACCCACTCCAAGTTTCCTAAATTTTAGCAGGTACTGTGCTAGGAAGGCCGTGCATTTAGCAACTAAATTTTCATGTTCTGTGTAATTCTGAGAAACATCCCATTGGCCAGGGCGGCCAAGGCTTTGTGATCCTCACTTCATTCTAGGAAGAGTCCTGAGGTCCAGAACCACACCTGCACCAGGACATGGCGAGGGAGACTGATGCAAACCCTGTGGGGGCTGGCACTGATGTCTCTGGTGTTAAAGGTGGGCCAAGCAAAACAGATGAGCAGACAGCTCTGTGTCAGTTGGGCTCCGTAAAAGGCCCTTCCCACCTTTTCAGGCCAGTCGTTCTCTCCACCATTGGCTGGATCTCTCCCCAGCCCAAAGGCACACAGCCTCCTGGGACAGGAAGCCACCCCACCCCCTTTGCCAGAAGAGAGAACCTGGACCCTCCTCTTACTTGCCCCCCCAGTGGCAAGCAAGGCCTGCAAACGTCCTGGAACCGGGCACAGCCTGACTCACAAGTCATGGAAGTTGCGGAGGGAGGAGGCTGGGGTGAAGACGTCCAGGAGCCCGATGACCTAAAGAGAAGATGGCCAGTGAGAGCCAGGCAGCCGCCGTGCCCCTCTGCACCTGTCCTCTGCGGCCCCAGGCCTGCACAGGACCACCTGCCCTTTCCTAGAACAGCACCTCCAGAAGGAGGCAGGTTCCCAGCCTTCTGGGAAGAAGCAGTAAAAAGGGGCAGGGGTGGGGGAGGGATTCCCCCACCTGGGCAGGAATTGGCAGCACATTGCTATGGAGAGTCAGGCTGGGATAAGGGATGGGGGACATGTCTGTGCTCACTGACCCCAAGTCTGGTGCTCAGGAGAAGCGGCACAAACGCAGTCTCCGCTCAGACAGGGAACCTCGAGTGGGGAAGGGAATCGAGGCAGGGACAGAGAAGGGATCTTCCAGCCAGCAGGCTCCCTGTCCTTGACCTTGGGTCTCACCGCATCCAACCCTGCCTGCCAAAGGGCTGATTCAGAGCTGGGGCGAGACTTCCCAGCTGGAGGCCATGGGGAGGAGCTGACTGAGAAGGAATGGGACTTAAAATATGCACAGTGTTTTGAACTCATTGTTTTAAATGCTTGGGTTTCCCCTGGTGGCTTAGCGGTAAAGAATCCACCTGCAATGCAGAAGCCACAGGAGATGTGGGTTTGATCCCTGGGTCGGGAGGATCCCCTGGAGGAGGAAATGGCAACCCACTCCAGTATTCTTGCCCGGAGAATCCCATGGGCAGAGGAGTCTGGCGGGCTACAGTCCATGGGGTCGCAGAGTTGGACACAATTGAAGCGATTTAGCACGTTTTTTAAAATGCTTGTCTGCCAATACAGGTCCCCTGCAGCAAAGCCTGGGGGCCAGGCTCAGCACTGGGTCACTTTCAATCAGACGGGACAGTCTTGAGGTCACGCTCTGGGGCCTGGAGCCAGGCTGTCTAGGGTCAGATCCCAGCTCTGCCACTGACTAACCATATAATCTGTCTGTCTACAGCCATACCACCCTGAACGTGCCTGATCTCGTCTGATAACCTGCGAGTCTTTCTGTGCCTCAGTTTCCCTGTCTGTATAAGGCAGTAATGGTACTTATATGATACTGTGAGGATTAAACATATTAGTTTCTGCAAAGTTCTTAGAACTGTGCCTGGCACATAAGTGCTCACAGGTTTCTATTATCCTTGTTGTACTTATGTGGAAACAGCATTAACCAGGATCCTGGGCACCAGGTCTTAGATCTAGAACAACTACGGAGTTCCTCGGCGCCCATTTCCTCATAACAGTGAGACACCAAGTTCATTCTGCGCCACTGCCAAAAATTCCTTTGCACCTTACCTGGGAAGTAGGTGGGGTGGGTCCTGGCACATAGTTTTAATAATCAGGTGAGGAACAAGGATCAGAGGAGCAGGGAGGAGGTTCCCTTTCTGCTGGCGCTCTTGGGTCGTCATCTTGGGGTATCTTCCGTGTGTGCGCATGCATGTGTGCACACACACGGAGGGGCCCGGTCAGGACCCTCTCTGGGGCTGCCCTCCCGCCCCTGCCTCCCCGAAGCAGCCCCCAGGCCCAACCTACATTCTCATGCTGCATGTGTTTCAGCAGCAGCAGCTCCCGATAAGCCCGCTTGGCAAAGATCTCGGACTGGAAGGGCCGGCTCAGCTTCTTGATGGCCACCTTCTCCCCTGACCGCTTGTCGATGGCTGAGCTGTAGGGTCAAAGGCAGGTCAGCAGGGAGCACGCCAGCACCCTCCCCAGCCCGGAGGCAGGCAGGGCTCCAGACCCTGGGTGGCATCTCCCAGGCCATCTGGGGAGCCATGGCCATCCTCACCCCAATCCCTCTGGGCCAGCAGTCTCAGCTGGGAGGAGCTGATGCCCACCACCGGGAATGTGAGTGAGCCACTGGAAGTACAGTGGGACTGGGAGAGCGAGGAGGGAGCAGGCAGGATCTGAGAGAGGTGCCTTGCACCAGGGTAAAACAAGTTAATGTCAACAGGATCCCGAACAACTTGGCAAGTCGCTTCTTGTTTGCGTCTCCCATGTGTATTAAATAACAAATCAATCGGGATTCGGCCAGATGAGCTCTGGGGTCTCTTGTAAGTCCTGGAGAAACAGATTCAGTCCTAATTCAACCCACAGAGACCCCCACCAAGCAGGTGCGAAAAGCGAGCTGCCGCCTGGGGCGGCCCCATGGCCAGCCTCCACAGCCTGAGGCTCCTACTCCACTTCGAGGTCCAGCCTGCTGCCTCCTCCAGTCCCAGGGCTCAGCCTCGGAGAAGCACCTGCGAAAGTCTTCCCAACCCGCCGGACTCTGGGCCTTGGGGTCCTTGATCAAAGGTGGTGGGCGCACAGCTTCGCGCGCCCAGCAGGTGAGGGGATACGGAAGGCGGATCCGGGGAGCCGGGGGGCATTGGCCGGGATCTGGCTCTTGCGGAGGCCCCGCCCGTGTCCCAGTGCCTGGGCGCTCACCAGCGGGCTGGCCCGATGCCCCAGGCGACCCCGACGCCCCAGTGGTCGCGCAAGCGCGCGCGGGGGGAGGGGGGGGTCTCACCATACGGAGCCGTAGGCCCCGCTGCCTATGTGCGTCAGGGACACGTAGGTCTTGGGCAGCTCCCAGGCGGTCTTGTTGACGTCCTGCTTGTAGAAACCCTTTTTCCGGGTGAAGCTCATCCCGGGCACTCGGCGTTGGCGGCCCCAGCGCGGTGGCTGCGCTCGCGGCCCGCCGGGCTCCCAGCACCTGGCGCCCGCCCGCCGTGCCCGCCCAGGTCTCCCGCTCCTCCCCTGCGCGAGGGCGGGTCCCCGTCCAGGCCACGCTTCCCACCTGCCGGCGCGCCCAGGTGCGCTGCGCCGCCACGCCCGGGCCTGCCGGGCCGCGGCTGCCGGGAGCCCCGGGTTTCCGCCGGGGTCGGAGTTCGGAACCCCAGCCACAGATCCGAGCGAAGCGGCAGGGGCGCCGCGGTGCAGGGGCTGGGGTCGGGGGCGCTTCCCGGCCCCCACGGAGGGCAGAAGGCAGGAAGACAGCCTCCCAGCTGCTGCCTGCAGACGATTCTGTAGGAAGATCTCGGAGATTTTTAAGACAATTTTGCGGGGAAAAAAACCCCACAAAAGCCCGTAACTTGTTGAGTATGGGAAGTTTCAAACATACAGAAGTAGCCAGTGCTTCTCACATTTGAATGTGCACACGAATCCCTGGGGTATTTCATTGAATACAGATTCTCGTTCAGGAGATCCGGGGTGGAGCCAAGATTCTGCATTTCTCACCAGCTCCTAGGCTCAGGGATCTCTGAATCACACGTTGATAAGCAGATTCTAATGACCCCGTATAACCCCAGTTGCAAACCCCACAGCTTCAACAAGTAAATCAACTTTTTTGTCAATTTTGTTTCCTCTACATACTTCCTCCCCCATTGTTTTGAAGCAAAACCAGGCATCCTATCATTTCATCTGAAAATAATTTTTTGTATCTCTAAAAGATAAGGATTGTTTTAAAAACACAACTACAGTATCTTTTTTTACACCTAGAATCAATAACAGTAATTCTGTAGTATGAACCATCCAGTCTAGATTCACATATTCGGTTTCGAATGTGTTTTTGCTGGCTTCCTGCTGCCTGGTGAAGGCAATGACAAGCCAGAGCCTTCAGCCACCTGTGTCTGGTCGTTTGTGCATCCTGAAGAAGATTCTGGGCTCAGATTAAATCACAGAGACCTCCCAGGAACAGGGTCAGCGGCAGAGAATGGCTGCAGGAGGTCCAGATGCCTGACCTGGCTTGTCTGACCCCTTGCTGGCCTGGNCCCCCCCCCCCCACCTCCCGGGAGTCTTCAGAACCCAAACCCTGTGCCACAGCCCCACACAGTCCTGCAGCATCAGACCCTGGGGGGCGTGGGGGCGGGGGGTGCAGGGATCCCACAGAAACACCCAACAGGCATTGCGGGCAGGGGATCTATCTGTCTTACATGTGTCTGTCACGCAGTAGGCTGTGAAAAACTGTATGGAGAATGAGTGGGAGAGTCAGCCCATCAGAGGTGAAAAAAATATTTATCTGATGAACACTTACTTGTGTTTGCAGTGTACTAGTCATTATTCTAAGTGTTTTACATACCCAACTCCCTTAATCCTGGTGAGAGGCCTGTGAGTCAGTAGTACTATTATCCTCATTTTACAGATGAGGAACCTGAGGTTCAGAGAAGTTAAATCATTTGCCCAAGGTCAGACATCTGGGAAGGGGCAGAGCTGAGTTGAAGAAGCTAAGATGATCTGGTTTGAGACTCCAAGCCTATGCAGTGTCTCTGGTTGAGAGGCATTACTTACTGTTGTTGTTGTTGTTTTGAGGCATTACTTCTTAAAGGAGATGGCCTGTGTTTCAAATTATCTACCTCACCCATCCTAAAGACATGTCTACTGATCAAACCATGTCTCCCTCATACATCCTGCCCTGGGGATCTGACAAATTCCCCACCCTCTCCCCTACCTGACCCCTTCTACTCCAGCCCTGAGACCCTGTAGAAGGAAAGGGGAAGGGGCTAGGAGCCTGGTGGAGGAGGGGGACTGCAGGAGTTTTGGACCTTGGGGGTCGGTGACGCCAGTGGAAGGCACTCTGATTCAGAAGTTGGCATACGATCCTGGAAGCCAGAGTCTAGGGCTGGGTACAATCAAGAGAGAGTTGTCCAGGAGACTTGGGTCTCCTGGGTTGAGGATCCAATTCTCCAGGGAACAGACAGGCCTTGAGCCTCTTGAAAGCCTGAGTGTGACAGAGGTGAGCCCAGAAAGGTGACAAATGTCAGGGAAGTAAGTGCTCATTGCCCAAGTAGGTGCAATCCTGAAAAGGCACGAGCTGGTCACTGAGGCTGTGGCTCTGGACGCCTCTTAAGCAATGGTCAGGAAGTGACTCAGGCCCTAGACTGTGGACACTGACCCCCCCTTCAGCCTCCACTGGACCTGTGTTGACTCAGTAGCCAGGCAGCCTTGGAGAGACAGCCTTAGGCGATCCTATCTGGGAGGTCAGGAATGGGACCTGTTAACATCGGGGCAGGGGGCATCTCTTTGGAATGAGACCCACATTTCCATCCTGCCTCTGCATTACCAGCTGTGTGACCTGGGCCAAGTTCCTTCCCCTCTCTGAGTTTTGGTGTCCTCCTTGTAACATGGAAATGATATTAAAACGTGCTAAGTGCATTTAAAGGGTCCTGGGGATGGTTCATTCTGAGTGCAGTAAAACAACAACCCAGTGAACTAGGGGCTGTTAGTATCTCCAGCCAAAGATCCTCCCAGAAACACACCTGTGGGTGAACAAACTGGGTTTGTCACTAGTTGCATCAAGGGAGAACATGCACATGGGAACCGGCAGGGGGCGGGGAGCCGTCTCAGTAAGGGAGTGTTGGAAAGGACTTGTTGCAAAGTTAGGTCATTTGGTGGAAGGTGTAAGGAAGCTGGACTTTGTTCCGGATGAGATGAAATCAGGAAGTGGAGATGATTTTATGGTTAGGTGTCTTAATGAGTCTTACCTGGAAGGAGGACCAATAGAATGAGGAGGGAGCCACAACTGGTAAAGCGCCAGCCTTCGCTCAAGAGTAGCTGGATGGGGGTGTTTGGTCATGTTTGTGGTTTGGACGACACTTCTGTTTTCTCTGTGCTCAGACACGATTACAGAGTGTCTTGTTTTTGTCTCAATCCCATTGTGGTCACAGATGGCCTTGCCTGTGTTCAGTGGGAGCACATCAAGATGAGCTGCGCCAGGCCAGCTCTGAGCAATGCCAGACGGGCCTGGGCAACTCCCGGGTGTCAGGATACAATGTTCGCCTCCTACAGATGGACAAACTGAGGCCCAGAAGTGTTAAGTGATTTGCCCAAAGTCACATATGACCAAGAAGGTGTTGGACATGGTCTTCTAACGTGGTGTCCTGCCCCAGAATCTGCACATTTAACCATCAGCCAGGCTGCCCAGCAAGTGTCTGAGAAGTGCTTGTTCTGTGCAGCTGTCTTCCCAGTGAGTCTGTGGAATGCTGGAAGGCAGGGACATGGTGTGGGGGATCGTTGACCACTTAGGGCTCTGCATTGCCACTGCAAGGAGCGTGGGGTCAATCCCTGGTCAGGTACCTAATATCCCACATACTGCGTGGTGCGGCCAAAAGAGAAAAAGAAATGCAAGAGATAGAAGTCCCTGCCGCGTGGAGCTGACATTCTAGCGGGGAGGCAGATCAGAGACCAATGAGCACATGTACAGTATTGGGTTGAACTGAATGGCACTGCTGATATTTGACAATTTTATGTGGTTCAATCACATGTAATGTCAGGCAGTATTAAGTGCTATGAAGAAAATGCTTCCCTCATAGCTCAGTCGGTAAAGGATCTGCCTGCAATGCAGGACACCCTGGTTCAGTCCCTGGGTGGGAAAGACCACCTGGAGAAGGAAATGGCAACCCACTCCAGAATCCTTGCCTGGAAAATCTCATGGACAGAAGAGCCTGGTGGGCTGCAGTCCATGAGGTCGGAAAGAGTGGGGCATTTCTGAATGACTAGCACTTACTTACCTACTTAAGGATATATAAAGGACTTGCGAGGACTCTTTTGAGACGTGGGGGAGGAGTGGGAGATCCGGCAGAGAAGGTCTGTCTGAGGAGGCATCATTGGAACAGCACCTGAACAAGCGCAGGAGTGAGCCAGGAGGATCTGGAGGGGGAGGGGTGGGGTGGGGTTGGAGCAGGTGTCTGCCTTCCTTCCAAACGCTTCCACTCTGTTCCCACGTCTGACCTGCCCTCCCCCTCCTCCCCGGCCCCAACAGTCTCCGTCAAATCCTCCAGCTCAGAACACCTGGGGGTAGCTTCCTGGCCTCTGGTTTACCTGGCTGTCTCCCCCCTGCCCCCCACACCTCTTCCACTTCGAGGGGACTCAGGCCCGGAACGGAACATCCGTCCCAAGAACAGCGCATCAGACGCCCAATGCTCGCCGGCGCCCCTCCTCCTCCGAGCTGCGGGCTCAGCCTTCCCGCTCCTGGCGCCGACCTGGTCCGCTCTCCCTGCCTCGGCGTTAGCACCCCCTGGTGGACAGTGCGGGTACGGCCGGCTCTGCTAGACTGGCGGCGCCCCCCGCAGCCTTCGGGGGACCCAGAAAGCAGACCGCCCCTCTTCACACCCTACATCGGCCTGCCCCTCCCACCCTCCCTACTCCACCCCAAGACCCACCTCCCTTCACCCAGCCTGCAGGACTGGGCCTCCCGTCCTTGACCCAGTCCTGTGAAGACGTGGCCTGGGGTCCATCTGGTGGAAGATTCCAGCCAAGTCTGGGGCTCGGCTCCCTCTGATCTCTGCATTGTCCTTTGTCGCATCTGTCACCCTTTCGAAACACTTTATTTCTTTTGGCCATGCTGGGAGGCACGCAGGATCTTACTTCCCCAGGTCTATTTGTGCACGCTCAGTCGCTTCAGTCGTATCCAACTCTGTGACCCTACAGACTGTGGCCCACCAGGGTTCTCTATTTGTGGGATTCTCCCAGGCAAGAACATTGGAGTAGGTTGCCATGTCCTCCTCCAGGGGATCTTCCTGACCCAGAGATCGGCCTCTGCTTGCAGTGGCTCCTGCATTGCAAGCAGATTCTTTACTGCTGAGCCACTGGGGAAGCCCCTTGTTTCCCGGACCAGAGATCAAACTTGGGCCCCCTGCAGTGGAAGAACAGAGTCCGAACCACTGAACCATCACTTTCAGCTAACCTGCATTGTCCTCCGTGAGGTGTCCATCTCCGCCCT